TAAGGGAATACAATCCCTATATAGATATAGGCATAGTGAGAAATGAAATGGAAACCACTGCACGATGCTTATGGTAATAGGATATATACTGTGGCTAAAGGAAGGGAAAAGGGGATACAGTCTCTATATAATCCTTATATGATATATTCCCTATTCGCTTCAGTACCTTGGCGCCCTGAATTGGAAGCTGTTGCGAATCAAAAAGCAAGGCTTGGCAAGTGTCCACGAGGTGGACAAGGCTGGGCAGGTACAGGGTTTAGGGTTTGAGGTTTTAGGGTTTAGTTGCGAAATCCTTCAGGATTGCGAAAATGTGGGGCTTAAAGAAAACGAGCAGACAAGACAAGCAAAGAGATACTTCAAAAGATGAAGGGCGAGATCCTATTTCTGAGGATATCCATAAATTGCTTAAGTCAATGCACCCTAAACCCTAAGCCCTGAACGCCAACCTCATTGGGTGTAACAGCAACAAGCTGGCTTCTTAGAGCCGCGGCTCTTATCCACTCTATACTGTATACAACCCAGAAAGAACAGGAGTTTCTCCGACTTGTCGTCCTTCTTGGGGTTTCTTGACCTTGCCCCTTTAGAACGAGAAGGGAGAGGAGTGTGTCAAATTCTCCCCGTAATAACTGAAGAACGCTGTTTCAGAAGCTTGTTTCATACAAGGAGCTTTTCATAGACACATCTTTTTTCCTGGAAGCTGACCCTCAACCCTTAATCCCCGAACCCTGAACCCTAAATCCCTTAACCCTAAATCCTAAACCTAAACCCCTAAGCCCTAAATCCCTAAAACCTTATTGAGTACCATCCTCATTGTCGCACCGCGATATTGAAACTTCACAAAAAAAACATCTTGGACAACATTACAATAAAGCCCCCGGCACAAACTATCCGGAACCATCCAGAAGTTGTCCATCCCGAGGCGATAGGGCCAGGGTTTAGGATTTATGGTTTGGGGTTTAAGTTTCTGAAGAGAAGACCGGATGCAACCCTTACAGGGGAGCAGTAGCTCCTAGTAATCCCTACATTTGGTCTCGAAGGGCAGCCCTTCTTGCAAACCCCTCCCCTACACTGGAGTTTCTAGTAGGGGGGCTTCCAAAATTGAGGCCCCCCTTTGGGAGTCTCCCTGATGAGGATTCTAGTTTAGGGTTTAGGGTTTAGGGTTCGTACAGGGCCCTTCTCCATCAATGGAAACAACCATATCAAGTCCGCAGATCATCTGGAGAGGCTGGGTGGAGAGCACTACACTACGCTGCCATGCGTGGCGATCCACTGGTGATACAGGCCTGGTAGCCAAAATGAGATTGCAGGACTCTACACAAGCCCTAATAAACCCTTAACCCGAAAACCGGAAGCCCTTTGAATTCGGTCAAAGTTGCCGAAGAGTTCTGAATTTCTAGCGTGGATTAACGTCGCAGAATATGAAGCCATGGGTGTTTAGAGCTTTCCGTTTCAGGGGTCTGTGAACTCCCAGTTCTGAACCCCACTGCGGGCTTTTGCCCACCCACCCCACCCTATACAGGGCTTGCTCCAGCTGCGGGCCAATGTGAATCAATGGACCTGGTAGCTGAGAAACGCATGGAAACTTTTTGAATTTTCTGGAGCTAGGGATTAGATTGTGGGTATGGAGAGTTTGTCAGGGTGATTAGCTAATGCAGTGTATATTGGATAAGCGGAGCCGGCCCAAGTTCATTGTTGGAATCCAGCAACAATGTGGGTGGTTGTCAAAATTATGGTCCCTTTTTGGATCCCTATTATAATACGGCACCTAATATTTAGGGTACCCAAAAAGGGACCACAATTTTGACAACCACCCATGTACGAGAGGGCCGTCTGCCGGGCATTTCTGCCAGGCTTAAAGCCGGCGAAGCCCTGAAATGGTAGCCTTTGAAAGTACCCCTACTTCCTGTTCCGGCATTGAAAAGGTCTGAGGACCCACACCGCTCACTTTCTGCAACGCAAACGCCAAGACACCCCTAAATCCTAAACCCTAAACCCCAAACTCTAGGATCCGAAGCTGTACCGCAGAAAACTGAATGGTTGCTTCTCTTGTCTCGCTAGAACGCCTACATATTTCCACCCGATACCCCCAACAAAAGGATTTAGGTTGTAGGTTCAATGTCATGGATCTAGGGAGGCAATTAGCACGGCCTCAGACATGTTTCGCAGGAGGCACGAGCAGCGGAGGCACTTAGACCCATAAGAAAAGAGCCAAGCGGTCTGGATTTGGTGTATTGAGCCCTCAAATCCTAACCAAACGTCCTAAACCCCAAAAGCCTAAGCCCTAAGCCCTCCACCCTTGTTTTTAAACGGTTTCACCTTCAACGCTAAACCGCAAAGGAAGTCAGCACCGCTCGCAGGGAATCTCGGATCGGACATGGAACTGTTTTGGTTGTAGGGTGCAAGCCATGGGTCGAGGGCTTAGGGTTTAGGATTTAGGGTTTAGGAGTTATTTCGGGTTCAGGATTTCGGGTCTAGGGTTTAGTATTTAGGGCTTAGGGTTTGGGATTTATAGTCCCCCTCAAGTAGATGGAACATGGGCATATATGGGGATCTTATTGTGATTTTGGGGAACTCCTTATTCTATCTACTTTGCGACGACTATAGACCTAAGCCTTCCAGTTTTAACTTTGAGTTCAGGGCTTTGGGGGGGTCTTGATTTCTTTAATTTCGACGTTATTGGCCGGGATCCCAACTCCTGTCTAGGACCCCAATGATGTGCTTTCTTCCTTCTACTTGGAAGGAGAACCTCATGTGGCTCCACAGGTACTTTCTGGAGGAGTTGTGCTATGTGGTAGTTTCCCTGAGTATAGGGACAACAAAATAGATCCCAGCACACCATAACCTTACTATGGGACCCCCAAAATGGTATCCTTGATTTTGGAAACCCCATCTAATCGTGTTGAGATGGTCGTCCCAAAATTTTCAAGTCCCTCGCACGGGCAGCCCCTCTGCCTTTAGACCCTAACCCCGCTGAGCCATGAACCCTAAACATAGTGCCAAAAGCACCAATGCAAGAAGACGCCAAAATAACAAAAAAGATTTGAGAAGCAACCCAAACGTCTTGACCCTAAATCCCTTACCCTAAAACCCTTTCAACCCTAAATCCTAAACCCCAAACTCCAATCCTGCTATAAGCCCTAAAGCCTAAACAACCCCAAACCCCAGCATATACCCTACAATCCAGCGCCTAGGGTACCTTTTGGAGCAACAACGATTTCCGTCTTCTTCAAACACCACCAGGCCGGGGCACTACATTGTCCGACTGGGTTAGGGTTTAGGGTGTAGGGTTTAGGCTTTAGGGCTTTGGATTCTAGAGGTTCAGGGTGGAGGCTTTGGGGCTAAGGATTTTGGGCTGATTTGCCTGGTAGTAGTGCTATTCCCATGAGGGAGCTTCAAATATTGCGAATAGGATTTCTGCCTTTTCCTTGCAGAATTTCTTCTACTATAGGTACCAATATCCATTGCAGAGATTGTCCTGGCGCCCCATCTCTCCCCCCCAATCAACCTCTACAGCACCCCCTAGGAACCTGGACAACAATGCCAGCACAGCATGAGAAGATCTGATCTGATAATTCACCTGAGTAGTATTTTTTTAGGCCAATAATGGAGAATCAAATGGAAAAGAAAATGGAAAATGGAATGGAAACTGGGATTATAAAGGGGTTATATTGGGGATATAGTATTTTATTTGGGGATCCTCTGGTACCCGTTATGGAGTAAGATTATATCCTCCTTTTGGGGTATAGTTCTTCATATAAGGAATATAATCTTACTAGGTTTAACCACCAAAAAAACACGACTCACCTGAGCCCTGAGGTTACATCAAGGCTTGTCCTTAATGACTGGCAGTTTCCCAAAATAGGGGGACCCCAATATAGACACCAAAATACTATAGTCCTTATTATAGGGATCCCCAACAGGGTACCTTCAATTTTGGGGAACCCTAAACCCTAAACCCTAAATAGTAGTTTCCATTATCCCAATATAACCCCAATATAACCCCCAAAAGGGTACCCCTAATTTGGGGAAACTCCCTACAAGTGTGGAGCCTGTCACCTCCAAGTCATTCCTGCCTCATCATGTAAGCTATAGTCTAAACTCCTTAAAGGGGGTTTAGGGTTTAAGGTTTAGGGTTTAGGGTTTGGGATTATATACGGGACTACTATAAGGGCTATTGTGGGGGATACTAGGAGTTTAGACTATGGCCCATGTGGTTGTACTCAATTGGGAAAAACCCTCTGACTTGAGGGCTGAGGTCCGTATTTTGGGCGAGATCGTTAGCTGCCTGAGGGGATGGAGCCTTGAAAACACGGTTTAGGGTTTAGGGTTTAGGGTTCAGGGTTTAGGGTTTAGGGTTTAGGGTTCAGGGTTTAGGGTTCAGGGTTTAGGGTGTAGGGTTTAGGGTCAGACTGACCTCCCTGGATCTCACAGTAAATGGTGCTTCATCTAACCAGAATGGGTGCAAAAAACCTGCGTGGCCTAAGTACACTAGAATACCACAATTCCCGAGGAAAAAGGTTCGCAAAGCCATGCAAGATTTTTGTATCCAGAATCTCGCTCGTCCATCCGATGCTCCATCATTGAGTTAATACGCTGGACACATAGATTGAGGTCATGGAGGATTATTAAACCCCATAAAGCTCCCTGTATTCCCCCACTCTCATGTAATCCCCCTTAGAACTCCTAAACCCTAAACCCTCTTTGTAAACGCTGGAAGTGCAGGTGGTCAGCCTTCTGATTCTTGCCATTTTCAGCTCAGGGTTTAGGGTTTGGGGTTTTGGGTTTAGGGTTTAGGGTTTGGGGTTTGGGGTTGTGAAATTGGGCACGCTTGGGGAACTTAGAAATGCGCAGAGGTGATATCAGAATTTTTGCCCGGGGGGCATTCTGCAGGGATTGTGTTGAGAAACGCCCAGTTCTGAGGTGTTCTAAGGGGGCTGGACATGAAGGAAATGTTGGAAATTCGTCAAGGCGTGAAGGATGTATTCAATGCTTCTTCCGTTACACACCCCATGACCTGCTAAAATTGAATCTTCCGCACATGGCCGGTACATGCTTTCTATTGAGGTGGGGGGGGGTATGCTTGATACTGGCTTGTTTCCAGTGGCTGCGCACGTTCATCGGATGCATTACCTAGATGAATCTGAAGTCCCAGGTCTACCCCCTACGAGAATCAGCAACTTCCTTGTATGAGTATGACCTAGCCTATCCAAAGCCCCATTAGAATCGCACATGCCCCTGCATCACGCAACGCCCGTCGACCCCCAAACCTTACATGCCAACCAGCACGCCCACACCCCTAACTCTACATACCAACTGTACAGAAGGCTAAATCATTACTGTTATAAGTTCCGAACGACCCTTGATAAGCTTCTAGATCGGTCTACCCGAGCTTTTTACATCCTCATGTAGGCCTCGACATCACAAGCCCCACAAACTGATATACAAAACCAGCTTCCATGTCATGTTCTAATGGATTTCTCGCTACAACCCCTAGGACCCATTTAACGGCCCCCCCCCCATAATCCCACTCCCCTACACAAGGATCTCTGCGGGGGCAAAGTTGGATGCTGGATTCCATCCGGACGTCGCCGCAGCAGCTGCTGCTAACGATCCCGAGTCTGTCAGACGCTGGGCAAGCGGCTTAGAGTTTCCTGGTTCCCTAGTATGGGGATACTGTAACTTTGCATTTGATGTTCATTATTGTGATTGATTGAAATGGTAGTTTCCCAAAATAGGGGGACCCTAATACAAACCCCAATTCTATAGTCTATAGTCCTTATTATGAGGACCTCCAAAAATGTACCCCTAATTTGGGAAACCCCCATTTATCGAAACACAAGTTGAAACCCTAAACCCTAGACCCAAACCCCAAA